CCACCCCAGGCCGGGGGCTGAGGAAGCATGCACGTCAGAAGGACTGGCTTCCCTCCTAAGAAGCCCGGTTGAATGTACAAAAACACAGAGATACACCTCAACAACGCCTCACTTGGTTAAATATCTTTCTTACGACTTTCAAATCCAGTTACTGAAGATACAAACTAATCCTGGATTAACATTTAATCTCTTCTCAAATTTATCAGAATTTCAAGAGCAATGTTCTACTTGAAATGAGATGACTGGCAAGGATGTGCCGCAGAACCCCGCCTTTATTGCCTTTATGAGTCTGGAGATACATGAGAAGCGGAAGAGCCTAAGAGCATCTGGAGTTATTAGACGAGAATGCACTTATTTCTCTAATTACCTTTAAAACATTAATTCTACAGAAACCAGTGGCTCACGCCTGTATTCCTACATACTCAGAAGGCTGAGACCTGAAGGATTATGTTGAGTTCAAGTCAGTGTCGGGAAGTAAGTCCACAAGACTCCATCTCCAATTTACCAGCAAAAGGCTGGCTCAAGTGGTAGAGCACCAACCATGAGAGCACAAGTCCTTAATTTAAACCCTGTAACAGACACAGACACAGGCACAGAGACAGAAAGACAGAAACACACACACACACACACACACACACACAGAGTCAGCAGAGACTATAGGATGAAATGATTGTGCCAGGCTCATTTGAGATATCAACAGTAAGGTCCAGCCCCGCCAAGTTAGCATAAATCAGTTGTTCATGAAGGTCCTCAAATCCCCTGGAGTTCACCTTGAGGTCCAAGGTTAGACCCTCTCTCTCCTTAGTGGATAAACAACTATGCTCACCTGCCACACTTCAGCTTCTTTGTCTCTGTGAAGTAAAAGAGTAGATGTCTCCATGCTCTGCTAGGGAACACGAAGCAATACAATACATAGGGCTCCCTTAAAGAGAGAAGGTGAAGGAACTTGAAAAGGTCGCAGGCAACACTCTCTCTCTCTCTCATCATCAGCCTTGCCTGCCTGTTCCAATCACTTCTGGAAATCTGATAAAACACCAATGTCTGCTCACCAGAGAGACCCAGCTGCCAACCCAGCACAGCTCAGCGCCTGGAGGGTGCTTAGCATCTGCATGTTTTGAAAGTTCTTCAGATATTCAAAGGCACAGCAGAGAAACACACCATGCATGTTTAAAAGACCATAGTTAGCAAATGCCAGCATTGCTTTTCTTGCTGCTTTAATGTCTTTGCTCAACCATTAGAGAAGGACAGAGCAGGTTTTAGAGCAGTGGTGAATGAAGGCAGAATGAGAGGTGACCGAGCGTCTTTGAACCAAGTCTGTTCTCCAGTGTGATCAAAAAAGAGGAAAAACAGCACAATAAAAAGAAAATAGGATTCAATAAGATACAAAAGGAAAGGACATTCAAAAGAGCTAAGAAGCCAACTCAGCACGTGTATTTACACATATTGCTAGATACATTATGGTTTTTTCATTAGTTCCCCCTCCTAAAAATAGAGCAAATTTTCAAACAAATAACTCTACATAGGCATGTGTGTCCCAAATGTTAGGAACAAAATGCTAAGGAAATACTTTCCAACATCTGAGAGCAATTTTGAACTATACATCATCACTTCTATGCATTCACCTTAAAGGAGAAAGATCAGAGTCAAATGAGCAAACATCCAAGCGTATTATAGTTTTTCTCTCTTATTACACAGGATCTGAAACCCACTAATTTTTTCCAGAGGGAACCTCACTCATAGAACTCTTCCTGAGCACAGCTTGCTTCTTAGACAACTAGGAAATTCACGTACTAGCAACAGCATTGGGGCAAGGACTGACTGAGCGAGCTTTCATTGAGTAATGAATTTCAAGCACCAGGAACAATGAAGTATTAAATCGGGATTTCACATTCCAATCTGGCTGAGCCCCATCAACATCCCCCAAAGAGCACAAATAAAAATTCTTAACATTCTAGCATCTCAAAACCCAGGCATGCACAATCTTCACACACGTGTGAAAGCAAATCACACATGAGGTTTGTGAAAAACACAACCAGTTATATAATACTGTCAAAATCAGCGCATCAGGGATTTTACTCAACTCAACCAATGGGACCTGAGTCAAAGGCACCTACAGTTTTATATGCATTCCATTGGCAGTTCTTTGTTTAGTAAAACCGTTTTCGAATGACAAACTACTGTGTGTGTGTGTGTCTGTGTGTGTCTGTGTGTGTCTGTCTCTTTCCTGAAAGGGAAAAACATTAATGATCAAGTGAGTTTAACTTTTTAAGTTCGTGCAAAGGCTTTCAACACATTGTATCATGAAAAAAATGCAAGTGAAATGCTATTGAAAATGGTTGCACAATAAATATAATTTGTGATCCAGGGCCTCACCAAGCAGGTTCTTAAATTCAACAGTGGTTTATTCAGCAAAAAAAATAATAACTTGTATTAGCAGTCTAACTCCTTATTTCTACAGGAAAATATCTCCCACATTCCAAATCCTAGAAAATGTGAGCTGGGGAGGAAATCCTGGAACTGCCCAAGGTCCTGGACTAAGTACCTAAAAACCTGCCTTCCGAAGGCGGGGATCAGTATTTGAATGGAACACATACCTAGAGATGAACGGGTAACAGCACAGAAGCGCAGGTGCTTCTGGGTGCACCAACTTCTCAGAGACTCTACACATACGCACCAAAGCTCTTGAAGCTTACAAACCAAGTATCATTATTCTCCTTTGACACATTTCATTCATTATATCACAAACATGTATTTTTGAAAACTAATTTTTTCTTTTTTCTTCTTCTTTGCTCTTTTCTTTTCTTTTTTGCTGGTCCTAAGGCCTGGATACTGTCCCTGAGTCCCTTTGTGCTCAAAGCTAGTGCTCTACCACTTGAGACACAGCGCCACTTCCAGCTTTTTCTGGGTGGTTACTGGAGATAGGAGTTTCGCAGACTTTTCTGTCCAGGCTGGCTTCAAACCATGATCCTCAGATCTCAGCCTCCTGAGTAGGTAGGATTATAGGCGTGAGCCGTGAGTGCATGGCTCAGATTTCTGTATACTAAATTATCCCATCTTTTTCTAGAGGCTAAGGTTAAAAGCCAAAACTAAATCAGCAAGTGGGAAAAATAACCCAAGCTGACACAAAAAGATGTGGCTAGTTTTATAACATGTATCACCCACTATCTTATCCCACATTTACATTACATAAAATCTTGACAAGCAGTAAACAGATGCTAGTTTGTCCCCATGAGTAAATGTTCTGAGTGGAAAAAAAAATCTGACTATCAAGTTTATGAAAGTTAGACTCTATTCTTCCCAAGTCTTTTTTGCTGTTCAGGAAAAAAAAAAAAAAAAGATGTGTACGTGAAAGAATTAAATGTGACTTACTAAATAAAGGTTTGTTTCTTTTCACATAGAAGTACAAGAGAGTACCATAGCCAGTATTTTCAGTCACTTTCACTTATATAATTCTTTCTCTTCCTTAGAGGCTCTCTCTGCAAAATGTTTTGTTGATTTGTGAAAACCTATCATACAAGCATACACTATAATGTAATAAGCTGCATCCCAAGATGTCCCTAAGAATCTCTGTCTTCCTTCAACCAGTTGGGACTAGTTGAGTTATTGCTCAGCAATTGCGCCTACCCCAGATTTTCCCCTTTCCCACCCCCTCACACTGTTTTGTATATAGTTTGCCTCCCCCCCCTTCTTCCTCTTCTCCTTCCTCCTCTTCCTCCTCCTCTTCCTCCTCCCTCTTCTTCTCCTTCCTCCTCTTTCTCCTCCTCCTCCTCCTTCTTCCTTCCTCCCTTTTGGCCCTCCATTCACTTTTTTTGATTTAGAGGAACCTAATTAATAGTTGAGGCTCCACTCTGCCTGTGTGTATATGGGTGTGCGTGTGTGCACGTACCTGCCCGCACGGCCCTTCTAGTACTGGAGGCTTGAATTCAGGGCCTCAAATTCTTGGTTGGCTTTTTCTGCTCAAGCCACACCTCCTCTTCTGTCTTTTTGGTGGTTAATTGGAAATTAAGAGTCTCAGGGACTTTTCTGCCTAGGCTGGCTTTGAATCATGATCCTGAGATCTCAGCCTCCTGAGCAGCTTGAATTACAGGCTGGAGGCACCAAGTACCAGCTCTCTTCTTTATCCTTGACCAGTGGAGTTCAAAGGCAGAGAAGAAAGCTTCCTCTTTGTACCTCAGGAAGGTGGAAGGCAGAACACACCTCTCCCTGAAACGCCTTTGTCCTACTCATCTGTGCAGAGCAGAGCAAGTCTAGATTCTTGGCCCTTAGTTCTCAGTATCTGTTAGCCTGTTCCTGAGAGGCCATCCGAAACATGGTATCTGGTGACCACGTGCAGCGAGATGTGGCTGACCCTGATTTGAAGCCACTATTGGCCTGGCACAGGCTCCCATTCATACTTCCGATAGCAATGATACACAGATCCGTTTCCCTTACACCTTGTTTCCGTGTGACTCACAGATGGCACTTGCCAAATGGCTGACTGAGTTAAGGAGCAGAAAAGGTTCTGTCTCTGGCAATAGAAGAGATGACTGGCTCCACTAGGGTTCAAGCCCTGGGCCCTGGCTGCGACAGCCACTCATGACAAGGGTCCTTCCTATGTGCAAGAATGCTTGCGGGGTTCGGAGGCTTAACCATACACCTCCGCAATCTCAATCCACCACGCTAAGACAGAGCGGCTGGCACACACACCAAGAGACCCCAGTTCTCACCATTCACCCCGGCAGTGCAGAACGCGCCTCCTGCCCTGCGTTTCTCAGAATCCTTCCAGAAGCACTTCCGTGGATTCCAGCCCGTGAAGGTCAAAGCAGCCACACACCAAGAGCAGCGTGGCGCGTACCTCAACTAGAACCCAGCGAGCCCAAACCACCATTTTCCTGTCCTCTCCGAATACAGCAGCAGAGCACTTCCCCCTCCCAGAGGGAGGGCACGGAGGGCGCGCGGGGGGGGGGCGCGGAGGGCGCGCGGGGGGCGCGGGAGATAAAAACGAAATCGGCCGCGTTTACCTTCTTCTGTCTCGTGCCACACAATCCCCTCCAAGTTCACGCTGGTCCCAGGTTCACAGGGCCCAAGGCACTCCGGCTCCGTCACTACTCCCACTTCGCACGTATTGACACCCACGGACCGAGTCCGGACCAAGAGCTGCTCCACCGGTGCTGCGATGCTGGATGAGGATGGGGGAAAGTAGGAGGGCAGCAGCTGAGGCGTGAGACTGCTGGCGATGGGCGGCGGCGGTGCTGGCACTGTAAACAGGGAGTCAACCTGAAAGACAGACAGGCTTATTGCAGTGGGGCTGCATGTGGCCGGGCTCTGCTATGCAGTCTCTTTACATCCTCTAGAGCAGAGCATCATTCCAAACTCCATTTACAATTACCATAGGCACCGATGGCTCTCCCAGTGCCAAAAACACAAAGTGGAACAGAAATAGGCAATTTTCATTTTTCACGTCAAACAAGGTAAGCCTAAGAGTGCAAGCTTCCTGAATAGGTGGATGAAAATTACTGAGCAATATTAAGACTATCTTCCACTCATACTGAAATCTTATTTTCAAATTATAACATTTTTCAAAGAAGAAATGCCAATAAATAAACAATAACATCTGCATTATTGGGCATTTAAAGCAAAGGAAATGGATTAACTTTGTTTTCCAAGTACTTTATAAACCATAATGAATTAAATCACTATGAAAATAGATGAACTTACTCTACGGAATATACAACATATATAAACTTGATTGCATATACTGAAACACAAAGTGGATATTATTAGCATATACTCAGCAGCAACTCTTAATTAAGTGTTCTATTGCAAAGTTTAGCAGAAGTCATACAGAGGAAAAAAGAAATGTGCATGCCAATATCAACAGACCAGGAGTTTTCACCAATGCACGTGTCTGATGATTAAACATTTCAGGGTCATGGGTCGGTTTGACCAAGGCCCGGGAGCCTTCTCTCAGAATGCAGGAAGTTGAAATGATAAGCAAGTGTAAGACAAATTGGGTGGACAGATACCTCCCTTGGACCTTGAGCACCAGGAGGGAAGCAAAGGAGTTCCCCACAAATGTAAACGTCTAGCCATAATGCAACCAAAATCTACACACTTAGATAACAGGTGGGTCACCAGATAACCTCAGTCCGTTTGGCACCTGGTAGGACTTCTACAGAACAGCTTTATAGTTGTTTTTTGTCTGTATGTGGAAAAGCCTCACAAAGCCTCTCTGTCCATTTCCTGCATGCTCTCGCCACACATGGCCAGGGTCTGGGACTAATGGATGATGATACTTGCATATTTTATCAGCTGGGCTAACAAACTGTGAATGTTGGAAAATAATGGAGCAGAGGTCATTCTGGGAAAATGCTATCTTATCTGATGTTCATATATTATGAGATACCCTTTGTAGGCATTTGGATTCAGTTGTAATATTATATCATTTTGGTTACTTTAAAAGAGTAGTAAAGCCGGTGGTAGTGACTTACACCTATAATCCTAGCTAGTCATGAGACTCGCAAGGCAGACAAGCTGGAGAGAATCTCATCTCTAATTAATCCTCCCCCCCCAAAAAAAAAAACAAAAAGTAGTAGTGGAGCTCTGAATCAAATGGTAGAGTACCAGCTTTGAGCAAAAAAGCTAAAGTACGGTGTCTAGGCCTTACGTTTAATTCCCTAGTTCCAATACACAAAAAAAGTTAAAAATTAAAAATTAGACTAACCGATAGACAGACAAAGAGTGTACTTCCAGGGTGTCAGCTGAGAATATAAGCTCCTAATTTAACTGTTGAAGCAGTTGCCTGGGTGGCTCCTTGTTCAGGTGACCATAAGGACTCTGTCTACTGCAGTTTGCCTTCCACTAAAATGATAAACTGTCGTTCATTTGCCTGAGTGATCCAAGATGCACAGCAGCCCTTTACCCAGATGCATGCTACAGAAAGCAAATTTCCGGCTCTCAAAGCTGCTATAAAACTTCTTCTGCTCCATGCTTTTTATTGTTTGGCATTCTTCATCACAGAATCCAAGAAAAGAAAAGCATTAAGCAGTCCCAACCTATAGGTCATAATGATTTATGCTGTTGTGTACATGCAGCTTAAGATGGATCAACGTTCCCATTGATAGTTCCTATTTTAAAATTGGGCTGACAAATGAGGAGAGAGGTTCTGAGGAAGGAAATTTAAACCAAAAAACTATCCAAGACGACCCTGTATTCCTCATCACAGCTGAAAAGCTGAAGAGATTAAAACCACTTTCTAAAATTTAAAAAGAAGAAAATTAAAAATCAGTTACTATCATTTTTTTTTGCAGGTTTTCTAACATCTTCTTGATTTGTAGAGCTAGCTATACACTGGAGATAAACCGATGCTGTACATATCAACCAACGGAACTGAATCAAACAATATTCTGAAAATATTCTTTACATGGCCGGATTAATGGCCTAAGTTAATACTAAAAGAAGAAATACAACTGCCAGTGGGTGATCTAGATAGTGGGTTAAATGAGCCTTCCTCCATCAGGCTCTGGTGCCTCGTGCCTGTCACTCTACTGAGGAAGCTGAGGTCTCAGTACTGAGAGAAGGAAAGTCCATCAGACTCCATCTCCAATTAACCCCCAAACTATGAGAAATGAGAGTTGTGGCTTGAGTGGTAACCAGCCTTGAAAGAAAAAGTTGAGGGGCAGCACCCAGGCCCTGAGCTCAGCCCCCAGCACCAGCTAAAGAAAATGTCACAGTTGCTGATATTCTAGAAAGGAGGTGAGACCCGTATCCAACAAGCGCTAAGTGAGAAAGCTATAGTTCAGCTTGACTATAAATAGGAAGGCATATAGATAGCACTCCAGTGTGGTGAACTCTAACCCTTCAAATCTGGTAGGCAATAGGCTTATACATTTGACTCTTTGATTTAAACCCAAGTTTAGGTTCTTAGTTTTCCTGTTGTGCCACTGTCCTGATATTGGCTCAAAATGTGTCTCTAGTACCAGATCCATACTCCCCGTGGAGAGAGGAGAGAGGGGAGCACAGAGACCACCCCTAGGGTCTCTGGCAGGCCTCTCTTCCCTAGAGGCCACTAAATGAAAAGTGGGGTTGGGGTGAGGAATTACTGCCCCTCCCAGAAGGGTTTTACTCAACTACCTTTAAAAACATTCCAATTATTTGTCCATGCTTGGGAGATTCCAGGCTGCATTTCCATCCACTCTGGGCGGGGCTCAGCGCATCCCACACAGAGTCCCCCTCAGAGCGGAAGGTGACTTCAGCCTTCCAGCTGCCCTGCCCAGCCACGTGAGCGTGTGTGTGTTAGTCTTTTCCTGAGAATGTTCCACAGGGAAGACTCCCTGCCCAGCTCTCTCATTCTACAGAAAATACTGGCAACGGTATTCGTGCAATGGTAATAAATAAACTGTGGCTCGCAGCAGCTCAGGTCAGAAGAGCAGCAGACTGGACACAGGAAGGGAGGGAAAGGTACAAGAATTGAACCTGTACCCACCAAAAGGAGGCAGGAAGGAAATAATCCAAACAACGTGGTCGTTTCTTCCCGCCTGGGAGGTTACCCCTCCAGAAGTTTTCGTTCTCTTGGGTATCTCAAGGTATCCTGCACAAAGCCGCGTGGCTCATACGTAAAACGGGATTTTAAAGAACACTAACTCATTTGTTAAATTTATTTTGAGACAGGGTTGCTCCATGTAGCCTCAGACTCCTGACCAACCTGCTTCAGCCTCCCAAGGGTTGGGATTACAGGTGTGTTATCACTGAGCCTGGCCTCAGTAGTTATTTTTGTCTTGTAGAAAAGATCAAGTCTATGGCCTCCTGATTTCTCACGTCACTGATCTACATACTGAGCCATAACTTTTTGGGTCAACAAAGCTCATCAAGACTGTGGGTATCTGGGCACTTTGGGCGTATGCCTCTAATCCTAGCTATTCAGAAGTTTGAGATCTGAGGATACATCACAGTTTGGAGTCAGCCCAGACACAAAAGCCCAGGAGATTCTTATCTCCAATTAAGTACCCCCCCCAAAAAAAAATAAATCAGAAGAGGAGACATACATCAAGTGGTAGAGTGCTAGCTTTGAGCCAAAAAGCTAAGTAAGGGACAGCACCCAGGCCCTGAGTTCAAGCCCTTGTTCTGGCACTAAAATGTGCACACATGCACACTTGTGCGCACTCACACACACACACATGTGCACACACAGAAGACAATTGGTGGCATCAGTTTTGTAGCCCTTCTTCCTGTGAGGGAGCAGCATACCAACTAGTAAACCTGGGGTCAAGTCCTGGCCCTGTCAGCCCTTGCTGTGTGGGACCCCAAGCAAGGCTCTGGGCTATTCTAAGTCTCAGTGTGTGGAACTGAGGAAAGAATCACCCCAACAGGCTGCCGGAAACTCAGCATGTGCTCAGTTCACCTGATGGGAGTGCTCAGCGTGTGCACAGCTCAGTGAACCCCGGAGAGAGAGAGAAAAACAGAGAGAGAGAGTGACAATGAGAGAGGCAGAGAGAGAAACAAAAGAAGGGAGAAAGGAAAGAAGAGAAAAGGAAAGAAAAGAGAAGAAAAGAGGAAAGAGAAGAGAAAAAGAAAAAGACAGCCAGGCAGCCCCTGGTCTGCTACATTTGATATCACAGTTAGTTCTCTAACCCCGCCCAGCCCTACAAAGCTCCTTTTTATATCCTACTATATTTAACATAAATCTATAATCCCCCCAAAATGCATGGCTAAGTGTGGTTAAAGTGTGTTAAAAGTGGAAAGAGAAAGGGGCTTACCCTGAGCAGCTCAGCCTGGGAAACTGCCTTTCACACACTGGCATCAGCCAATGGGCCAAACCCATCCCTGTTTACCAAAGATGGCAGTGCTGTGGGGAGCTACTGATGAGCCCGAAACTAGTACAACATCATCTAACCTCTGCATACGCTGCTGGGCCAAACGTCTACTGACGCTCACCTGAACTCACCCTACACACCATCCGTGTGCAACACCATCCGTGTGCGGTCTGCTCACGACCCTCGTGCGCTGCACACTTAGCCAGCACAACAGGACACTCATAAACACAGCGAAACCACACCTGCAATTGAACAGCCCCTTCCAAGGGACTGTCTTTGGTGGCCTGAGTACAAGACGTGGGGCCTTGTGTAAGTCAATAGGCGCGGGGCACACGCCAGTCTTTGGAGTTGGTCCTCGGCCTGGCATTGACCACGGCAAGCGAAGCAAGCCAATGGCTCTCTGCGCCACTACCTCATGTGACGTCTCCAAAGACGGAAGCCAAGCACAGGAGAGCCACTGCGGAG